CAATTCTCTGCTTGTTGAAGCAACAGGAAAAGAGAAAGAGAAGGGGGGGAATCCTGATTCAACTCATGCATCCTCAGAATCTTCTGTGACGGCACAATTGGGCATCTTTCCAGTGGAAATTACTTTAGCACCACAAAGCCGATTGGCTGAATGAGTCACCAGCCGCAGCAAAAAGAAACAAAGGTCAGAGTGTGCAGACTTAACACACCTACTTCTTAAAAAAAAAAGTCACCCAAGTTAGATAAGACAACATGGCATTCATTTCGTATGTACATTGCAAACAAGTCCAAGATGATATCGAAGGCAAGAACTCATCCATCTCCCATGTCAAACTTATGAAAGAAAACTACACTGTTCACTACGATGGGCTTATTTTCAATGAATGAAAAGATACCAGCTGGACAGCAGGACTTAACCATTCACCTTAATATCCATGAAAGATGAGAGAACAAACAAACCTCAAATGCGATGAAAAGATACCAGCTGGACAGCAGGACTCAACCATTCACCTTTATAGGCACTTCAAATAATAATAAAATATGTATCCATGAAAGATGAGGGAATAAACAAACCTCAAATGCATAACATTCTGAATTAATGCAACAGTAGCTGCTTTATGTTTATGTAGCAGTTGCTACAGAAAGATGGCAACTGTGTTCACCACTTTTTGTTTATGTTGTTCTCACCCCCATGTATCAAGCCCCTTTAGTGGATCAACTCTGAGGGTGCAATCCTAGCTATGTCTACTCAAAAGTATGCACAACTGCATTCAACAGGGCTTGCCTCCAAGTGAGCACACACAGAATTGCAACCTGGGAATCACTATAGTATATGTAGATAATCGACCAGAGCAGTGCTTCTCAGACTGGGGTCCCCCAGATGTTCCTGGACTGCAACTCCCAGAAATCCTGGCCAACATGGCAAACGGTGAAGGCTTCTGGGAATTGCAGTCCAAGAACACACGGGGACCCCAGTTTGAGAGCTGCTGGACTAGAGAAAGGTGAGCTTGGCTATTGGACAGGTTAGGACAAAGATTGGTGAGGACTCAGACCGGAAGGTAAAACTGCTTAGCTCTACCCCTGGAGGGTGAAGGCTTCTGGGAATTGCAGTCCAAGAACACATGGGGACCCCAGTTTGAGAACCGCTGGACTAGAGAAAGGTGAGCCTGGCTATTGGAAAGGTTAGGACAAAGATTGGTGAAGACTCAGACCGGAAGGCAGAACTACTTAGCTCTACCTCTGGAATAATTAGTTACTATAAATACTGAGCCTTAATTCGGTTTCATCTTTTGACATTCTGGGAATTGCAGTCCAAGAACACATGGGGACCCCAGTTTGAGAACCGCTGGACTAGAGAAAGGTGAGCCTGGCTATTGGAAAGGTTAGGACAAAGATTGGTGAAGACTCAGACCGGAAGGCAGAACTACTTAGCTCTACCTCTGGAATAATTAGTTACTATAAATACTGAGCCTTAATTCGGTTTCATCTTTTGACATTTCACTCAATTTAAAGTGCTCCTAATTATGCCATTCTGTAGCCTGTGCAGATGGTTAGTTTGTACCCAAATAGAGCTGTGGATGATGTTATTTGAGGTGATATATTTGGTGAGTTGTGCAATTGAAAGGGATGATGGAGATTTCCCCATCCCCAGCCTCTATTTTCATCTACTCTACTGTTTTAGGTTTTTATATTTTGCTTCCTACTGATGCAGCGCTATTTTAGATAAATGAAATACATTGACGGTACAATATTATGTGTACCATGCCAGGCAGATACATTGCTGTTGCGCTGTGTCACTTACTGAATTTTACCAAAAAAAAAGGTAAGTTATCATGGCCCATTAATCAAGAGAGGCACAAATTGGAGCAATCCAGTGACCTGACTGGACCCTTCTGATAGGAGCAAAAATGTCAATCAGTGTGATTGCTCAAGTGATGGATAAAATAGCTCACACAACAGATAAAAAACCTTTTCAGCACTAACCAAAACAACTCCAACTTCCCCCTTCTGGATGTACCCTTACTTATGACTAACAAATCCCATTTATTTCGGTGGATCTACTCTGATTATGATTAAGTTTCTACTCTGTGACTAAGCAGAGGTCCAGTAGCTGATGAATAAAGTGCTTTTTATAGACAAGGAGAGGTTTAATGGACCTCTTTTTAAAAAATATATAATTCAGCTTTTTAAGGCACTTTTCAAGGGCAAAAAAACTCAAGTCATTATGGGTCTCGATAAACAAACCTCAGAAGGATTATTCTCGTGATGTTGGTTTCTTGCCTCAAACTCTTACTACTGTGTCAGCTAGAAACTTGGAAGGAAGACTGTGATTTTTTTTTATTTTTCTTGGTCTTCAGAAAAATCAATACTAAACATTGGGGGGGGGGTTGTACTGAAAGAGAGATGCTCAAATAACCAACACACACACAAACATACACACTCCTTAGCAAATCTGAAGATCCACACATGGAATATTTGGTGTATATCCCTTTAAAATGCCCAGCCAGAGATATCCAAATCTTTTCCTGACATTTCTGGATGTGATGAAGGGTTGGCAACATGCGACCCAAGGCCATTTTTGTGGCTCCGGATGCCACCCTGCCAGGAAGAAAAGGCAAAAATTGTAGCTTCCTTTAAAAAAAAGGTGCAGGACACTTTTTAACTCCACCGTCACGAACAAAATCTACAAAATTAAAATCAAAATCAGGCTGCAACTACAAATTCCAGAACACTGCAGGATGGAGGCAACCCAGCTAAATTGGTGTCACACTGAGATAAAGGCATAACATGGACATGCTAAGAAAGCCCTGGGAGAAATCAATGGCCTCTTAGTCAGGCGTCCCGTTTCTCCCAGTGGCCAAGCAGCAGGACCTAAAGATCACAGACTGACTCTTCTGTAGTTTCTCCCTCGTGATGGTTACTTCCTCTGATCTTGGAGGTTCTGCTACCCAAAACAGTCAGTAGCATAAATCCATCTCAAGGCAGTGAGTTTCACAAACCAAAATGGACATCAGAGAGAGAATAAAATGGATCTCTTTGTCGTCCTTGCACTCAAGGACTCCGGAGAATGCAAGGAGAAGTGAAGAGCTTCCCCTTATCCACATCTTCCACACACCAGTTTCTACCAACTAGGTGCCCTCCAGCACAGCTGGTGGTCAGGGGAGGCTGGGGATGATGGGGATTGTAGTCCACCTAAGGGGATCCACATTGGGGAGGTGGGTTAAAAAATGTGCACAGAAAAAAGCTGCAATTTTTGGCTTCCTCCTGTTCTCATGGCTCTTTCCCCGTCTTGCCTACAGTCACAACACCCCTGCAAGGAAGGTACAGCAACTGGACTTAACATCCCTTATAGTGAGTCCGGAACTGCGTAGTTTTCAACGGGCACCTTCCCCGTCTTACCTTGAGCGCGGTACTTTATGTCTTAGGCATCTATTCTCCATTCAGACATTTCTGTGCTAGAACGTACAAAGCAAGAATACAGAACGGGATGCTTCTGACCATATGCACCACTAACTTCAGCTACCCCCCGAACTGCTAAGTACGGAGAGTAAAAGCTTCCGGACCATCGGAGGTACTTCTGTCCAGCTGTGTCTCCAAAGAGGGTGCTTGTCAGCTATTTTGTATCACAATTCCCATTATCCACAGCCAGCGCAGTGAGATCCCGTGGTTTTATGCTGGGGTATGTAGTCCAACATGTTTGTTATGTGTCCACGTTGGGTCATTTTAAGAAGAAAGGCAGGGTAATATCTCAAAACTGAAATAAATGCCCATTTTGGGAAGGTCCACCCAAGACGTGGATCTTCAGAGAGTTAGTTGGGTCATTTTAAGAAGAAAGGCAGGGTAATATTTTAAATAAAACTGAAATAAATGCCCATTTTGGGATGGTCCATCCAAAGCGTGGATCTTCAGAGAGTTACATCCAGGCCTACTATCATGTCCTAGCTTGACCCGAGTTACCATATAAAAGAGACCTTTTTTTAAGTCTTTTAAAATCTGGTTTAAAATTAAGATATTGAACCTCAAGGCTACGAGCAGGGGCTAAATCTGAAGAGGCTGTGGGCAACAGTTCTAAAGAGAATATGTCATACACAATTGTCTACAGAGATAGCTTGGGGTGGGAAGAATGAGCTGCGTGGAAAAGGAAGGCCACAATTCGAACCCAGAGGGAGGAGAGAGATGGGGAAGGGCCGAGCGGTACTGAGTGCTGATCGCCAGGAATAAGATTGGGAGACATCTCACACACATGTCTCAGAACACAGCTTTGTGCTCTGACTGAGTTGATCCAAAGTCTCTTAAGGCACTTCCTTCTTCTGCAAGTCCAGTGACTTAAAATTCCCCTTTCAGCAATCATCCTATCTCTGGAGGAGGAGGAGGGAGAAGAATCTACACTCCCACCCACATCCTGACTTCTGACAGATAAACGGGTGTTAATGGGTAACAATCTCGAATGCCCTTCCCCTGCGAAGAGAAGAAGGCAGGGTTCTAGTTAAGTCAGAGGTTGCAGAAGGAGCCAAAGACTTCTGTGGCACCCTTAAGATGACCATGTTGTTTAAAAAAAACACCCCACAAACAACAACAAAAACACCTGTGTGCAGAGGCAGAGAGAGGGAAAAGAGCTCCCTTTCTCCTCCATCAAGATTCAGGGCAAAGCCCGCTTGGATGCAGTTTATCATGCCGCAGAACCGCAAGCCCAGCTCTGCCTATTTCTAGGGAGTAAGCCCCGTTGAACTCAATGGGTCTTACTCATGAGGAGGCTCCGGCTGGGATGGAAACCCGCTCAGATAAACCGAGTGCTTTCCCAACGGGGGTGGTCCTTCTCGGATCTGAGCGGGGAGAAAGAGAAGAAAAGGCAGAAAGGCAGGCGCGGTAGGGAAAACTCCCGGGAAAGGCAAGCCCGTCTTGGGAAGGGAGGCGGCGATGCGGGAGCTCCCCCCGAGGACACGCGTGATGCACGTGGGAACGGCCCGAAGGGGGCAAGCCCGGCTCCCGGCTCTGACTCACCGACGCCGTACTTCTCCCGCTTGGTGGGGATCCAGCGGGCCATCTCTCGGCGTCTCCTCCCCGGCCCGAAGGGGTGGCCGCTCAGCCGCCTCCCGGCTCTCCCGCCATGCTCGAAGGGGTGGGATCCGGAACCCACCACCACCCCCCTCCGGTGGCGCTTCCTTCCCCGGCAAGTTAAGGCTCCAGCTGCCCGACGGGGAAGTTGCCTCGCTCCCCAGCTCCCCGCCCGTCCACACACACACACAGACACAGAGAGAGAG